TTAGATTTTCTGAGAACTTCTCATTCGGAGTATTCAAATGCATGCATGCAAAGAGTTTCTTGACAGATGTCTGTAAGAAATTAATCGACAGGAGAAAAATAGTGAAAGAGAGAGAGAGAAAAAGTATTTATAGCATAAAAAGGAGAAGATTTTAGATGAATACAAAAAGAAAAGAAAAGCAAAAAAAGCTTGATTTTTTCAAGTGTATATAAAAAAAAACCAGCTCTCTAATAATAATAATAAGTGGAAAGATATATTGAACAGACGGGTAGAGTTACTTTTAAGGTTTAAAGAGTTTTTTTTTTTTTTTTTTTTTTTTTTAAACTTATTAATCGAGTCAAATTTCTATTTATTTTTGAAGATAAGATTTAACAGGAAGAGAAAAAAAATGACACGAATAAATAATTAAATCTTCATATCGGCATCACATTTTGTGAGCACAGCTTGTCTGTTACTTGATTTAAAATGAAGCCTTGGTAGGAGCTATTTATTTATTTATAAATAACGACGTGTCAAATGCTGCTGATAGATGAAATAGGTCTCTATACTACTTTTCTTTCTCTCTCTCTCTCTCTCTCTCTCCCTTCGTCTTCGTATCTCCCTCAAGTGTGCGTGTACGTCTCCATTGCTAGTCTTAAAAAAAAATCGTGACACGTTCGCATATATGATGAAGAGACAGAAAAAAAGAAAGAGCGGCCAACCACCGTCGTCCTGTGTTCGTGCTATGATTTCCTCGCTCTCTTGTTCGCTACTCTCCAAGGACAGCCGCCGAGGCGCACACAAAGCTCATTCTGTGCATACTAACTCGTCGTACTTGTCCTTCCTCTGTCCGTACGTATATTTACACTCGGATGTCGTGAAGAGTAAGTCATTTTACCGTTCGGAATTTCTCATAGCAGCGTCATACATTATATTTTGTTTAATATACATCATTTCACAATATATGTCATTAAATAAAAAAAAAGAAATTGAGAAAAAATAAAGCCTAATAGGATATAATTGTATTAATCCTATATTTTACATTTGAATATTTCATTGAATTGGGTCTTTTTCTTCTCTTTTAATTTTTTTTCTATTCATTTCAACTTGACGTTCACTGTCAGTAATTGTCATCATTGTCCTTCGACCGTTATAAAGGAAGGTGAAGGTCTCTTTTTTTCTTTTTTCTCACTACATAATAAACATGAAACAAATGACGACATTTTTTTCTTCATCTTCTTTTTTTGTTTCATAAATTAACTCTTAAAAAAAAAAATTTAAAGTATAACGGAACAAAAAAAAAAGAAAAGAGGTTCGACAAGTTTATTTATTATTATTATTATTATTATTATAATTGGATAGGATGATAGTAGAATGGGTTGGAATGTTCTTGTTTATCAACAAAATACTCAAAGATTATAAGAGGGTAGACACATCGTTACGACAACGAAAAGCATCATGATTAAGTTTTTTCGCCTCGATAACTGTCACTAAAAAAAGAAAAATTTGGTTTCCGTTGACATCATAAATAGAAAGAGAGCTCGATTGGGAGTCGCTCAAGCTTCCTATTTTTTTTTCTTCTTCTTCTTCTTCTGCTTCTCTCTTGTCATTTGATTTTTATCTATCATGTTACGTTAATATGTATATATAATGAATATATTAGAGACCGATGAAGCAAGAGAATACTATTGTATCTCATAGACATTTGACGAGGTAAACAATTATAATTAAGATATTTGTCGTAGCCTTCGTTTTTTTTCTTTTCTTCTTTGTCATAGTTCATTGCGTATAGAAGATATATTTATCCATCAAATCCCTGATGAACATGTTTCTTTTCAAGTATAGAAGATTAGTTAAGAAGAAGAAGAAGAAAAAAAAACTAAAGAATAGACAATTCTTCCATTTCATCAGTCAACATGTCTTTATATATCATAGAAGTATTTCTTCATAATTGAACTACCAAAACCTTGTATTACCCTTGAGAGAAGTGTCGCTGTGAATATGTAACTAGAATGAAAAGAGAAAAAAAAAACGAAACGAATGTTATGATCAAATTGTCTTTGGATATTTTTTATAATCAAAAATAAAAAAGAAAAAAAAAATTTAATATTAGCTTCCTCCCCCCCTCCCCTTCTGTACATATTTTCTCTATCTGCCGTTGTCTTTTTTACAATAGTAATCCTAAAGATGTCGATAAGTAAAGAACAACAATAGTTAATCTGCTTATTCTTTTCTCGTTCGTTCTCTTGTACATATATTTGCTTTGAAGCATCGAGATAAGAGACAACAGACTTCGTTAAAAAAAGAATGGCAACAGGCAATAATCGCCCAAAGACATAGTATATTTATACGAGGTGAATGGATCATCGCTTTGTAACATCAGTAGTTGATTTTATGTCTCGGTCGCGCCTAGTAATCCATGTAAAGCAAAGGTCATCTTCTTCATTTCTTATTCTTCTTTTCTTTTTTTTATGTTTCTCATTATTTCTTTTGTTCGGATTTTACTCATTTATGATAAAATAGTGATATGAGAAAAATTCCATTCATTTTCAAACAAAGCTGATAAGCAAGTGCAGTAAAAAATGTGTTTGTGTACGAAATATTGGCACGTCTCATATTTTCTTTTTTTTTTTTTATATCTTTAGGCCAAAGTTCTGCTGAATGATAGTGCAGCTGAGGTTTTTTTCTTTCTTCCATATAACTGGTTATTCTTTTTGTCTTTTTTTTTTTCTTCTTCTTTTTTTTTCATGATTATAGCTTTGAGGACACTTGTGCTTATAAATGCAGACAGCAAGCACGTATTTTGAAGGTTTTTCTCTTTTTTTTCTATTTAGCCATTTTTTTGCTCCAGTTATAATGAAGCAAACAAAGGTAATCATCATCAATATTTGATACAGACACAATTGTTGACGACAGGTGTCATACATATGCATTTTAAAAAACAATATAATATACAGTAGTTTTATAACAAGATTTCGTTAAAGAAAAACATATAGTTATATAGAAAAAAAAGAAAATGACATTGATTAAATCATTGTCCAAATAATTTAACCTTGAGACGGTGAGTTCACAAGGTTTTCTAATGTGTATACTTCGTTTTACAATGATACAAATAAATTAGAAGGATTCGATACTGACAGATAGAAAGATATCAAACGAACTCGATTAACTGTCCTTCTGTAACTAGTAGTATGTTACTATGCATGAGAAAGATGATCTATACTTTCATCATTGATGTCTTATGTTAGCCACAAGAGATTGACGTATTCTCTCTTTTCATATAGTTTTTATTGCGGTCTGTCGTTTCTCCTCATTTTTATATATCTTTCTTTTTTTTTCTTTTCTTCGTTGTCGTTTTCTCTTTCTCAACTTGTTGAAATGAGAAGGCTGTCTGGTGTCCAGATGAAAATATCGTATGTAGTATTAAAAACAGCCGAAGCAATAGTAATAGACAAAAGAAAGACGTTGCACCAGCATTCCTTCTTTTTTTATGGTTAGAACGTCTAATAGAGCAAAAAGATGTGAAGAGAAAGAAAGAGAACTGATGTCTTTTCTCTCTATTCTCTGTTTTTTCTCTTCTTGTGTGGGTATGCGGGTTTGTAACCGCAACAAACTAACATCGTCACTACACTTACAATCGTAACCATCATCAACGAGAACATAGAGAGAGAGAGTCAGCGCAGCAGCAGTGGCGACGGCAGCAGCAGCAGCAGCACCTTTTTTTGCTCGTTCTTCTCTCTGAATCTATTATGTAAAATAACCATATACTCATATTCACATATTCGTGTTAGCAATAGAAAAAGAGAGAGAGAGAGAAAAGAGAATAGAAAAAAAATGAGAGAAAAGTATCTTCCAACTTCCCTATTACTACAAACGGCCAATTTTTTGTTTACAATAGCTGACGACAAGGATGAATTGAGAGAGAGAGGGAGCAAAATTTTTTTCTCTTCTTTTTCTTCTTCTTTTTCCCTATTTTTTTACTTACCCCTTCGCCTTTCAATTTTCAACTTTCTTCTCTTTACCTATATTCCATCTACCTTCATCATCAAGACCGTAAGGCAAGCAGGCTCGTTGAACATACATCTGAAGGACAAGTATGTCCCCTATGCTTTCAATTTCTAAGGCTGCTTGCACTCTTGTCTTTCTCTCGCTCTCTCTTTTTTTTTGTCTCTCATCATTTATTCCCTATGATCAACGATCTCTTCAAACGTTTGACGTTATAACTTCTATGTTTTGTTTCTTGAATATTACCCTTCTCTCCCTATGCCCTAAGTGTATATGTCTTCTGACTGTGCCGACACTCTGATGACTAAGAATAATAATCGAGTCGTAATCAATCCGCCAAATATATGACTAACCTCCTATATATGAGACGAGATATGCACAACTTTCAAAGAGACTGATTATTCATTAATGGGTCTTTCAATATGTTATAAGAGAAAAAAAAAAGACGATCAAGAGAAAGAGAGAGAAATGACAGACAGAACACTCGTACACACATAAACATAAATTCATTCTTATATTTTCCAGACATATAATTCTCAAGACTATTGCATCATGAGATATATAGAGACACATGTGGAGAAGAGATGTTAAAAACAATATTCATTTATTTTTCAGATAGTTTCAATAAAATTTTCGTTTCTTTCTTTTTTTTTCTTTTTTTTTTCTCTTTATTCATCAAATGATTTATTCATTTAAACGAACATAGTATGTTTGATTATGATTAGTAATTGTTTATCTAATCGTACATTATTTTTTAATTATAGATTTCGTTTATCAGTCGGTCTAATTGATCGACATTTATAGTCTATTCTACTAGTTCAATTCAAATATATTTGTGCAGATAGTATATTTGCTCTCTCACTTATAGTCAACATTTCTTTATCCCAAGTAATTAAATACAATTTATTTCAAAGTAAAATACTTTTTTTTTCTTTTTTCTTTTTCTTTATTCTCTTCAATTAAAACAGCCTTAAAAATAATATAAGAAAAACGATCGAATAAAAAAACAAAAAAAAATGTTGCGCACAGTTTTATTAAGTTTAATATTATTGGTATCATTATCATCATCATCATCAATACTTCGAAAATCACTTAAACGTCGACAAAGTGATGCACCACCATGTAATGCTATTGAAGGTTTTGAATGTAAATGTTCATATTTTCGTGTATCATGTACAACAACTCGTGAATATCCATCACCATTAAAAATAAATGAAAATGAAAAACATAAATATCAATCTGTTGAATTAGTTATTGGTACTGCACAAGATATTCATGTTAATGATCGTACATTTGAATCTGTCAAAGAATTATATAAAAATGATGGAGATAATTATGAATTTCGTATTAAATTTGAAAAATTTACTGGACTTCATTTATCATCACCTGGAATTTTCAATCGAGTTTTTCCAGATAATATACCACAACATGCACGAAAACAAATGGTAAAAAATATAAAAATAATTTTTTTCTTTCTTTTCTAAATTATTTATTTTTTTTTGATAGGCATTAGAAATTTATAATCCTGAAGTTGCACCAAGTGACAATAAACATTTATTTCAAAATTTAAATGTTGATGCATTAGAACTTTATGCATTATATCCATTTCATGGTACATTTCAACAATTATTTGATGGTGCAAATATAAAATATTTACGTTTAAGTGGTGGTGAAATTCGATCAGATTTATCACAATCATTTACAGGTACTATAAGTCGTATAGAATTAGCTCGACAAGCAAGTGCATTATCCGTACAAAATTTTCCTGTTTATCCAGCACATGAATTAATTATAAATGCTTTTTATATAACTGAATTTAATACTGAACATCCACCAAATTATTCAAATTTAGGTGAATTACGTGTTTTTAGTCCTGGTCGTATACCAGCTAATGCATTTCAACAATTTCCTAATATTCATACATTATCAATATCAACTGATGCTGATATTGATCCAAATGCATTACATGGTTTAAATAATTTAGAAAAATTATCAATTAAAGAACCTAGACCATCATTAGCACTTTTAAATAGTGTACCAAATATTAAAGAATTTGAAACAAATATTGAAAAATTAGATGATGATGCACAATGTCAATTAGTTGGAAAATTAGCTAATGGACAAATTGCTGTTCAAGGTAAATCTTAAATAACAAAAATAAAACAAAGAATTAAATTTTCTTTTTTTTTTTTTTTTAAGGTATACCAAATGGTCGTGAATGTACCTGTATAAATGCTTATTTAAGTACAGCTGCTGGACGTACACCATGTGAACCACAAGGTTGTGAACGATCATCATGTGCAACAATAAAAAATAATTATGATACATCAATGCGTGTATTTAAACCACCACCAGCTATTCGTCGTGCTGATGGTTCAGATGCTTTACATCCACGTGAACCACGAGTATATAAATCATCATATCAAGTAGAAGCTGGTGATAGAGACAAACTTCATCGTGCTATACCACCACATCATACATCACATACACAACAAGATGATGATAGTCAAAAACATCATGGTAGTCATGATCAAAGTTCATGGCAACAACATGAACATCGACCAGGTATGTCAAATAGATATATATATATATAATATATATTTAAGATTAAAATATTCTATAGCATTTTAAGAAGCTGTAGAAAATAATAAGTAATAAGAAAAATAAATAAATAAATCAATATTCTATATAACAATTACAGACACTCATCCTTCATGGCCTACTTCTTCTGATATAAACCATTATGTTGTTACAGATGATAATCAAAAATCAGATTCATATGGTTATCCATCAGGTGCAGATAATAATCAAAATGAGAATACACAATGGAATTATCCAAATAATAATAATAATAATAATAATAATTATCAAACCGATAGACCTTCATGGGAAAATATACCTGAAAATAATTATCCGAGTGATAGAGATTCATCAAATCAAGACAATAATCAATACGATAAATCCCAATGGGAATCACCAAATGAGGAAAAAAATCCTAGTGATCAATCTCAATGGGAAAATACAAATGAGGAAAGCAATCCTACTGATAAATCCCATTGGGATAATACAAATGAGGAAAAAAATCCTAGTGATCAATCAAAATGGGATTATTCAAATCAATACGACAAAGCCAATGATGTTGAATCAGCAATAACGACAACACCTATTGAGTGGAATTTAGACAGAGATGATACTACTACTACTACTCCTGATTCATCTCTAGATGGTATAAGTCTTTTATTGCTAGAAATATATATACAGCTTAATAATGACTTTTGATTATGTGACAAAAAAAAAGCTCGATATTAATTTTTATTTTAGGTTTTGCTAAATATTGAAAAAAAAAAGATTCTCTAAGATTGATTAAGAATTTCATTAAAAAAAAAAAAATTCATTATTTGTTTTTATTTATTGTTTAGACCAACAATCAGGACAAAATCAAGATGATAATCGTGATGATACTGACCAAACACAAGGAAATGAAGGTGGAGATACTCAACAAGATGGAAAAGGTCATGAACATCAACAAGATAAAGAAGGTCATGAGCATCATCAGGATAAAGAAGGTCATGATCAACTTCAAGGTAAAGATGGTAGTGAAAAACAACCTGGTGGAAATGATAGTGAATCAAGTTCTTCTGGTGGTGAATCAAATCCTGATGGTGAAACAAGTTCATCTAGTGGTGATGAAGGAGTAATAGCACCACCAAAGAAAGGAATGAATTGGTTACCAATAATAATTATTGCTGCGTCAATTGCTGTTCTTCTTATTATTGGTTTAGGCTTTTTATTTTTACGCAAAAAACGTGGTAATAAAGGATATGGTCCAACAGCAACAAGTGATCAACCAGCAGGAGGAACAACAGCCCGAGCATAAATGTCGTTTTAAATTTTGTTTACAATTAATTGTCGTTTTGTCTTGTGTTTTATGTAATTTCTCTCCTTCTTTTTCGTCGGTGTTTCTCCGCACTCTAAGCAAGAGCAAGTATTATAATTATTATTATTATTATTATTATTATTATGATTATTATAATTATCATTATTATAACTGAACATTCTATTTTAGCTTAGTATATAAATAACATAATAATACTAGGCGATATATTATGTGTGCGTATTCGCTTTTCTTTTTTGGTCCCATTTCGATTATTCTTATCGAAATATTTCATTTCATTTTCTTTGTCTTTATTTGCTGTATGTGTCTTTTATTATTATTCACGTGATGAACTTTTGTGCTCTTTCGTGTCTATATTTCAATTTCGCTTCTTGTTTGTTAAAAAATATATAATTATCTTTTCTTTTTCTTTCTTTTTTTTGTGGATATTCACATTCATCAAGTATTTTGTTGTCGTCATATGCTATTACCATCGCTTCCCCC